CCCCTAATTAAGTCTCCTCACCAGAGCCCCCACCCTCACGCCCCAGCTGGGTAAGGGGCCTCCCCACCCCAAACACAGCCCTCATCACCTAGCTGTTGCTGTCTACCGTGGGTCTGCCTCTTCCTCACCCTAACAGGACATACTCCAGAAATCCAGTCTTGAATAATTTATAAACCAGAGATCTCCCTGGCCCTCACGCCCAGGGCCTTCCCAGGGTCCTGGATCTTGTGGACACTCACAGGATGCTGCCTCCCCTGGCCTGGGGAATGAGAAGGTTCTGGAAGAACTGGGTCCGGAGGGAGCAGGCTGTCTGGACATCACACTAGGGGGAAGCTAAGGTTCTGCAGGAACTGGGTCCGGAGGGAGCAGGCTGTCTGGACATCACACTAGGGGGAAGAGGACAAGTGGGTTCCAGGCCTCTGCTTGGTCCCTGACACCTCACAGCTCCTGCACAGCCCAGGACTCTCACCAACACCCCAGGCTCTAGTGCTGGTGCTGCTGACACAGGAGGTCCAAAGGCTACGTCCACTTTGGCTTTCCTGCAAGGAAGAGTGGAACTGGAATGGAGTCCGAGGGAGAACAGTTGTCTGTGTTTCCCCCTCCACTGGCTCTCATGGGCTGTCTCTCGGATCAGGCTACCGTCATCTCCTACACTAGCCGCCTCGTTATCTGTCTTCTAATGGCCTCAGGTGACCACGGTGAAAGGGTCTCCTGATGCAAGGGAGGCGTGACCCATGGGTTGAGAACTCACACTCAGGAGGTTGAGACGGGAAGATCCCTGAAAGTCTGAAGTCAACCTGGGCTACACAGTGAGCTGCCAGCGGGTAGTGGGAATTGAACCCAGGTCCTCTGAAAGAGCTCTTAACCTCTGAGACATCTCTCCAGCCCCCTGGGCTACAGAGTAAGTGCCAGGGCTGCCAGCCTGAACTACTACTGTCTCAAAACATTAAGAAAGAAAACTAGATCTGGCTGGGCCTGGCACAGGCCTATCATCCCAGTTACCATGGAGAGCTGACACAGCTGCCCTGCTTGCAACCAAATTTAAGGCCAGCCTAGGTAACTCAGTATGACGTTGTCTCAAGTTTTCTAGAAACTAAAAAAAAAAGGGGGGGGGCATGCTGGGGCCGGAGAGATGGCTCCATGGTTAAGAGCACCTACCGCTCTTGCACAGGACCTGGGTTTGTGAACCATATTCAGTGGCTCACATCTGTCTGTAAGCCCAGCTCCAGAGGATCTGATGCCCCCTGGCTTCCATGGGCACCTGTGGTGCACATCAACTCACACAGGCACACACATACACATAAGTGAAGACAATAAATAAGTCTTCAGACGAACAAGCAACGGGGCAAGGATTGGGCGTGGTGGTGCACAGCTTTGATCCCAGCACTTGGAGGCAAATGGATCGCTGTCCCTTTGGGGGCAGCCTGGTCTACAGAAACCCTGTCTAAAACCAGAACCAAACAAAGGGGAAGGGTTGTAGCTCAGTGGTAAAGCATTTGCTTAGTACAAGTGAGGTCTAAGGTCGAACGCCGAGCGCTACTCCAGAAAACAGCTACGTGGGGGGGAGAGATGGCTCAGAGGGCAAGAGCACGGGCTGCTCTTCCAGACCCGGGTTCAGTTCCCAGCACCCACGTGGCAGCTTTCATTTCAAGAGGAGCCAATGCCCTCTTTTGGCTTCTGAGGGCACCAGGCACACCCATGTTGCACAGACATGCGCGCTGGCTAAACACCCACATAAAATAAAAAACAATGCCCTCATGAGACTCAAAGAGTGTAGCGGCACTATTCCAAATCCTCCCCGGCGTGACACTTTCCTGTCACATTCAGAACAGCTGGCAGACATCTGAGCACTTTCCCGGATTCAGATTCACCTAATTCTTACACTAACTAGAGACGTTGAACATTATCGCCCTTCCGTAAATCTTAGAAATCCAGGTGCCCAAGATAATAGAACTCCTTATGCTGATGGCCCTTATGTTACAGCTGGAAGCTCAGAATTCTGGAAGCAGAAAGGGAGCAGGCAGACCACCGACCGGGGTCTCTGAGGAGAAGGTCTAAGCTCCCTGGGGAGGCTGAGCCCCACCTTTGCATGTCCTGCAGGTGACTGAGCTGATTCTGTAGCCTCTTCATGGGACCTTGCAGCCCACACTGCTGCCTTTGCACAGCCCTGCCTTTGGCCTGGAGGAGAAGCGTTCGATGCTGGGTTTCTTTCAGGCTCTGCAGTGTCTGTGCTATAGTCATGTCTGTGGGAGGAACAGGGGTGTGGTCAGCACCTCCCCCATCCAGGGTTTCACTGCCCATTTGGCTGGCCCCATAAGTCACCCTGAGCCTCAGTCTCTTGATCCATCAGCTCCAGGCTCTGGTCTAGCTTTTGGCTCTCTGCACGCAGGCGGGCCACAGTGGCTTCCAGCTCCAACTTCCGACGGACCTGGTGGGATCAGGTACAGGGTCAGAGGGACTTATTGGGGCCCAGCCTGGCTGGACTACCTTCTGGGATGGATGGCACAGAAGCACTAAGAGTCTAGCTGGCTCTCTCCCTCCTGGGATTACCTCACAATCTTCTTGGTTTTCTGTGTGGTGTCTCCCATATCTCTGTCAAATGCTTTTTCTTATCGAGACAGGGTTTTGCTATGTAACTAGCTCAGCCTAGCCTTAAACTCACAGTCCTTTTGCTTCAGCGTCCAAGTGCTGGGATAAAAGGCAAGTACCACTACTGTAATTTAAGAAAAGTGGCTCTTGAGAGAAAGAAGCCAGAGGGGTTTTTTTTTTTTTTTTTTTTTTTTTTTTTTTTTTTTTTTGCATTAGGGACAGGCCAGTACAGATGCCTGAATACTAACGACCACCTCACCCAGCTTCTGTCTTAATCTTCAAAAAAAATATGTGTGTGTGTGTGTGTGTGTGTGTGTGTGTGTCTTGTGCACACCAGTGGAGGCCAGGTGTTGGATCCCCTAGAACTGAAAACACAATTGGTTGCTAGCCATCTGCTCTGGATACTGGGATCTGAACTGGGGTCCTCTTCAAAAGCACCAAGTGCCCTTAATTGTTGACCATCTCTCTAGTGTCTTCCTCCCAGTCTTGACTTCTTTTTTGTGTCCCTTAGCAGCTCCCAAACCCATCCTTTCCCCATTGACGTTTGTCATTAAATTTAGCAGCTCCCTTTTAAGCAACTGCTGTCCTGATTGGCAGTTGCGACTCCCCAGCTACCAGTAATGGTTCAGTTCCCTATATTACCCAGCTTGTGCCTGTCTCCCCCTGGTTACAAATGCTGGGACTGCAAAGATCTGGGCTGTTTGGAGACACAGGGCCCCTGACATCCAGCACCTCTGGGGCCGAGAGCCAAATGTTTGCAAGCTCTTTTTTGGTTGAAGGAGAAATCTTACAGCACAGGCTTCTCACCTTTGAATTGTCCTGATGGCCATACCTAAAGAAATGAGAGCAGAGTTAGGGGATGGCTGGGGCTTCCAGAGTAGAGGGCAGGAAGCAGAGGCTATGGACGATGGGCCTCCCTGAGTCCCCTGCTTGCTCTGTCTATTAGCACAGGGTCACCCCCTTTAGTCCAATCCAATTTCAACATGGTTGTCTATGTTTCAATCATGTCTATGTACTGAATTCCTCCACAAAAGCCAAAGGATACAGGCGTGATGCACTGTCCAGACAACCAGCATCCAGGAGGCAGAGGCAAGAAGAGTTTGAAACCAACCTAAAATAGATCATATGACTATGTCTCAAAAAGAAAAGAAAATGAGGAGGATAGGGGGAGGAGAAGAGGGAGAAGAGGATGAAGAGGAAGGAAGGAGGGAGGAAAGAAGGAAGTAAGTGAGGGAAAGAAAACCAATCTCAGAAGGAAAGGAGGGAGGAAGAAAACGTTTACATCTATACCTTTATATATTTAAGAAAACAGTCTGGTTTTCAAGTAGTGTCACTATTCGGAGATTCCTCTGAGAGACGCTTATGTGGGTGAATTTGTCTCTGCTCTGAAGTGAATAGCTACATGGTAGCATGCACCACCTCTTCAGAAATTACCATGGCAGTGGCTTCTTTTCCTGTCTCTGTGATTCAATCTTTTTTAAAAAAGCAACTTAAGGGGGAGTTTTTTTGACTCACGGCTGGGGATGCAGTCCATCACAGCTGGGAAGCCACGGCAGCAGGAGCTTGAGGCAACTGGCCACATTGCTTCCAGAGATGGAGCAGGCAGCTTTCTCCTTTTTATGCAATCTAGGACCCAAGCCCATAGGAGGGTGCTCCCCACATCCAGGGCAGGTCCTCCTACCTCAGCTAGCCTTAGCCTGATCTAGATAATCCTTTACAGGGTCTGTCTAGAGACTTGTCTCCAGGTGACTCTAGATCTTATCAAGTTGACAATACTGCCCATTGCAACCATGTATGTTGACTCTAGTCTCCTTTTTTCATATGTGGTGCTGGGGCTCCAACCTGGGGCCTTGGGCATGCTTTCTTTCCGGGATTCTCGGGACGGGAGCCAGTGTTCTTTCTTTCTTTCTTTTTTTTCTTTTAATCATTTTTTATTTGAATTATAAACAAGGGTGAATTTCATGACAATCCCAGTTCCCTTCTCCCGGAGCCAGTATTCTCAACATCTGAGCCGTGTCCCCGTCTGCTTTGTTGTCTTGAGAAAGGGGCTGTGAGGCCGGGCTGGCTAGAACTTGTGATCTTTCTGCCTCAGGCTCCCAAATCCTGGGTGACAGGCGTGAGCTACCGACGCTTGGAATTGTGGAATATCAGCTTAAGATGTGCTGGTTCGTTTATTCGGTGGAAAGATGTGTTCTTTCATGCTAACGTTTGCCTAACTCTGTGAAGCTGTGTTACCTTGCTTTCCTAAAACACCTGACGGGTCTAATAAAAAGCTCAGCAGCTGACAGCCAGGCAGGAGAGAGGGATAGATGGGGCCGCCAGGCAGAGAGAATAAATAGGAGGAAAAAAATCTAGGCTGGAGAGAACGAGACGAGTGACAAGAGGAGGAGAAGAGGATGCCAGGGGCCAGCCCCCCAGCCATTCAGTCAGCCACAGAATAAGAAGGAACGAAAGATATATAGATATATAAAGAAAGATAAAAACATAGTTAAAGAGAAACAGGATAAGTTAGGAAAGCTAGCAAGGAACAAGCCAACCTAAGGCCAGGCATTCATTAGTAATAATAAGTCTCCATTTATTTATTTATTTATTTATTTATTTATTTATTTAATTTATTTATTTAGGAGACGGGTGGCATGCCCCCAAAGAGAAAAAAAACAAAACAAACTAAAAAAAAATCAAACAAACTACAGTTTGCTTTCAAAAGCAGTGTCTCATGTCTGAATGGAGAATAAAAGGAAAAAA